CCCCCGGGGGCGCCTGCCATGATCCCCCCGCCATCAGCTGCACTGGCTGAGCAGCAGTCTGCAGAGTCATGGCTCATACCAAAGTTGTGGCCCATCTCGTGGGCCATGGTGGCAGCCACACCAATAGCATTCTCAGAGTGGTCCTGTTCAGAGAGAGAGCCCAGGTCAAGGTCAAGGGAATTGCTCTGCCCACCCTCTCTCATACCTGCCTTATCCCTAGCCCAGCCTTGGAACTCTCCACTAATTCCACTCCTGCTGAGAAGACAGACTCTCCATACCTGCTCTCAACAGCATGTCTAAAGCCACTGTTATTATTAGGAAATCCAATGTTTAAAAGCCCATTATTTCCTGAGTTCTTGACGCACAGACCATGTCTGACCTACTGATAAATTCCCAGACCAATACTTTCTGGCGGATATAGATATATAGATATCTACAGAGAGCCAGGATGTAAGAGAATTGACATAGGACACACCAGCATGAGTCAAACACATAGGGGTGTGCTTAGCTCAGTGTGCCTGGTTCTGAGAGAGCCCCAGAAGATAGATAATATCTCAAGGACAGCACCAGGCCTCACGTCTAACACTTAATCGTGGGAAATAGAGTGAAAAACAGCAGAATGGAAGTAGTTAAAAAAATACATTTATTAATATGTGCTTCTTGCATGATTTCATTTAATTCCCATTCTTACCCAAAGATTGTAAACTATAAAATTATCTCTACTTTACAATGGAAGACACTTATTGGTTTGCCCAAAGTCATGTAGTTGTTATTTGAACCCGTTAGGTTCTGACTCTAGTGGCTGGTACTTTGAACTTCATTCTGCTTTCTCAGTAAATATAGGCAGGATGGAGGGATTGAGAAATAGATAAGAGGCTTCCGTGGTATCCATTTCACAGGTTAGAAATAAATAGAGGGAATTTTAAGAGAAGGCAGTAGTTTTCTAACCATAATTTGAGTCAGGCTCTTATTTCATTATGACATATACAACAACACAAGACCTGTAATAAAAACATTTTATCTCTATTGTCTTACTATTTCCCAGCATCTGGTTTGGAACACATGCAAGAGCTAGTGATGTATTCATGTAATTGCTTCAGAGTTCTCCTGAGCTTGGACATCAGGAATAAACTACAATAAATGACAATTCACCCCGGGACAGCTCCATCTCTCAGAATGTAATGATTTCATTTTAAACAATTTCCTTCTTGACGTCAAAGTTGTGGGGTTTTTTGTTTGTTTGTTTGTTTAGTTTTTTTGTCTGCAATAATAAATAGCAAGTTACTTTTTAAAATATGGCCTCCTGCCTGGTGGACAGTTTTATTGTCTCCTGCAGCACCAGCGTATCGGCTGAGACTTACCATGTTGACACCTCCAGACTGATACACGGAGCACATGGCCATGAGGGGGGCCAGGCCAATGGTGGTGCCGTGGAATGACATACCCCTGCAGAAGGGAAAAAGAGCGGGTGACTTGGGTGGGAACTGGGAGGGCTGTTTCCATGTACCCAAGAGCGGTGACCATCATGGTGTTCTTTAGACCTGCTGACACTTCCAGAATCTCCCAAAGGGAGAATTGGTATCTGGGCCAACTGGACAACTCCCAGGTCACTACACCTCTCTCTTCCTCTCACCTCCTCCCTCATTGCTCCAGAGAAACAGAAAGAGAGAGCAAAAGGTCACTTTTTCCCACACTATGCCCATAGCTAGTTCCCTGGGAGGAAATGGGTAGGACTTACAGAGCCGCATCCCATTCCTGTTGTACAGGAAAAGGTCAGAGGGAGGGGTGGAAGGGAGGATGGCACAGGTTCTGATGCTGACGTGAATCATACCCACTTCCGCCAGCTGCCAGGGTCCCACGCCTTATCCCTGGGTCTGTGGAGTGTGTCTTGGAGGGTGAGATGGGAGGACTGGGGCAACAGCTGTTGGCACTAATGCTTCATTCCCACATGATTCTGGAGCCAAGGAAACAGCTGTATCCCATCAGGAGCCCTGAGAAGTGCAGCTGGGTGCAAGGACGGGCAGCTTCTGCCTTTGTTTTGCAGTTGTGATCCTAATCTGCCAACAGCCAGCGACATTTCCCTATTTTAATATATCCCTCTCAGCTGCATACATCCAGGGTAAGGTTTTACATATACCCCAAAATGTACTCTAGGGAACCAGCAGTTAGCGTAATGGCTATGTCACTGGATTCCCACGTAGTCGACCACGGTTTGCGTCCCAGACCCGGTGGCTTAGAACTCACGCTGGGCGCATGTGTGTGCGTGCCCAAGATCCTGAGAGGAGAATGGAGGAGAAGGGATTGCAGCATGACTATCCCCCCTGGGGGGTGATTTCTCGCCTTCTGTCTCAATGGCTCTCTCTCTCTGGCGAGCGCACGCGCCCTATAGCGAAAACCTCTCAAAAAAAAAATTTACTCTATATAAAGATTACATAGATCCCCATGGAGGGACCAGCAGATGGTGTAATGGCTACGTTGCTGGACTCCCATGTAGCTGACCACAGTTTAAGTACCAAGCCTAAAGGCTTAAAACTCATGTGGAGCATGTGTGCGTGCATGCCCAAAATCTCAAGGGAAGAATGGAGGAGAAGGGATTGTGGAGTGGTCATCTCCCCTGGGGAGTGATTTCTCACTTCCTGTCTCTCTGTCTCTTTGGCCAGTGCACATGCCCTATCACAAAAATTTCTCCTTTATTTATTTAAATTTTTTTTTTGGAGAGGTTGTTGCTATAGAACCCATGTACTTGCCAGAAAGACAGAAAGTGAGAAATCAACTCACAGGGGGTATGGCCATGCTGCAATCCCTTCTCCTTCATTTTCCTCTCAGGATCTTGGGCATGCACATACATGCACCCAATGTGAATTTAAGCCACTGGGTCTGGGACTCGAACTGTATGGGACTACATGGAAGTCCAGCGACATAGCCATTATACCAACTGCTAGCCCCACAAAAAAGAATCTACATGGAAATGTGTTGCATGATACTTATCACCATATTTGTCTTCTTATCTAGTTCATGATATCTTCAAATGCTGAGAAGGTTGTACATATTCTGGGATTACTAGAGCCTAGCATAGACTATCTGATGCATAAGGGGTGCTTAATAAATATTTCTTGAATTCATGGCAGATTTCTCTTCAGAGGAAAAAACCGGCAAAGTAATAGGAAAAATATATGCCAATCCAAAGGAAGCCCCAACTTGTGATTTTATAAACACAGACACGGCTCTAAGGAAGTCCTACCAGCAACCTAAATTCAAGCTCTGGCCCAAGGCAGTACTCCATGCTTCCAAAGTTGAGGCCACAAGTGGTGGTGACCAACAACCCTCCCAGTGGTCATACTATTGACAAACAGCTACTCGTAGCCCAGATTTTGGGGACAGCTGCTTTCCCTGATTTCTTTTATTTATTTATTTAGATTTAAGCCATAGGTTACGTGCACTTACTGGAGAAAGAGAGAGAAGGAGAGTGAGAAATCACCTCCCAGTGGGGATGATGACTCCACAATCTCTTCTCCTCCATTCTTCTCTCAAGATTTTGAACACACATGCACACAAGTCTGGCATAATTTTCAAGTCACTGGGTCCAGGACTTGAACTGCACAATTGGTTATATAGGATCCAGCCACTTTAATCTGCAAGCCACCTGCTGGCCTACTCTGGTTTCTTTTAACAGGTAAACCAAAGTTTAAATGCTTATTGACATAGAGCTATGTTTGAGGAACAGAAGAAAATGGTTTTATTTTCTATGCGTCTTTTGTTGTAACTGCCGCAAAATACCTGTGAAAGTAAATACTCATGAATAACAAATACTCAACCATAGGGGACCAGCACATACTACCAAGAGCCCCTAAAGTATCTTCTCTTTTCTATCTGGGACTGATGAAAATACAACAGTGTATTTTTATCAGTTCTCCTTTCCAGTGTCTCCTTCCAACCTAACACCCAGTTCCTGTACTACCTGCCACTTTGACTCTGTCCCTTGGAACCAAGGGAAGGCTGACATGAGGAACCTCCCTCTCCTGTGCTTGTGTTGGGAGGTCAGCTAGAACACAGTGCTAAGAAGAGCAAAATGAGCCCCTTAGCAAGTCTGTCTCAAAGTAGCCCATGACCAAGAGTCAGTCACTTCCTATGCACATACTCAACCGTTTCAGATGCACAATTGAGTATGGGTTAAGTCTAATTTTTTCATGTAGTTTATAGGCACTTCTTAGAACTGTTATGACTCAGGTTTTTTAATATTTTCCAAGGTGTACCGGGTACAGAGTATGAGAAATGCCTGACTGGACCAGAGAGTCAGGACGACCTTCAACAACCAATACCTTCCACCACAGAAAGAAAGAGGCAAGCTCTGAGCACATCCACTCTGGGCAGAGGCTCTGTGACCCAGGCCGACAGGATACAAGTGGAAAATGCTACTTACGTGATTAATTGTGCATTGTCATGTTTCTTCTGGGCAAGCAACTTGCGCCTCCAACTAAGAAATGACCAGAGGGTAGAGTAGGGATTCTCTGAAACTTCACACATGTTCCCATGAGTCCACACTTCCAAGCCCACGAGAGCAATCCGGATGTTCAAAGATCGGTAAAACTGAAAGAACACACAGAAAAGCAAGAATATCTGTGACTACCACCTGGGATGTACAACCCCTTCTTGGTCTAACACCTCAGAGCACAGACACCAAAGGCAGGAGGATACAAGTATTATTTGACATTTCTCAGGAGGGGAAAATGAGCTCCTGAAAAAGATGCACAATGTTCTAGTGGCAGAAGGGGGTGTCTTCTCTTAGAGAAAAGAAGGCTGAGGGAGGACTTGATGCCGCTTTCAAATGTGTACATGGAAGGGCTACGACTTGGCAAAAGAATCAGCGATGTTCCTCGTGGTCCTCGGGTAGGGCTTAGGCCAAGAAATGAAACAGACAGGAAGATTAATTCTAACATAGGAATAAAGCTTTCAAACAAAGCTGGTTGTAAGTAAGGTCAGAGTTAAGTGCTGCTGTCATCTTTAATAACTACTCTCGGCCTGGTTGTCTGATACGATTTCTCTCCCAATTCCTTACTTGACCCTTATCTTCTTTTTATGTGTATCTGAAATGTTCTCTCATGTACAGATTTATTTTACAAAAACAATTTTATCATGGTGTAATTTATAAACCATGAAATCTACCTATTGTAAGGGTATGGCTCAATATTTTTTAGTCAATTTATCAAGTTATAAATCCATCACCATAATCTGGTTTGGGTTATTTTCATCAAACCAGTAAAACCCCTCATGGCCATTTCCAGCCATTTCCTAGTCTTACCTCAGCCTCAGGCAACCATTAATCTACTTTCTGTCTCTGCAAATTTGCTTTTCCTGGACTTCTTTTTTTTTTTTTTTTTTTTTGAAACAGAGTCATTCAATATATGGTCTTTTGTGTCTGGCTTCTTTTGCTTAGCATAATATTTTCAAGGTGCACTTACGCTGTAGCTTATCTGAGTTTAACATTCTTTTTTTTATTGCTGAATAATATTCCATTGTATGATATACCAAATTATATATAGATCTTTTATTGTAAGATGCTTCACACTTGTTTGGGAAGTAAATGGATAAAAATGATATGCAAGTGGAAAACATGCTTACTTTCAAAGGTTTCCTTTCTCATCCCTGTTTGGGTTTTGTTGGGGGTACCACAAACAGGTGGTAAGCATGGATGGCAAAGGTCCTAGGTAATCTTCAGGTCTGTCCAACCCAGAGATCTGAAAATTCTATAAAGAAGGCCTGACTCGGCCTCCCTAAGGCTAGCACGGCATCTATATAACATGGAATCATTCATCATATATGCCTATGAGAAAGAGAAGGACCTATTTTAAAGGCAAGCCACTGGAAGGTGGGGAATGTTCTTTGATGGGTCTATCACAGAGACTACTGAGCCAGGGAAATTTTTTTGAAGTTCCATGTATGCAGAGGTCAATAAGCAAGAGAAAGCATCTTAATCCAAAATTGGCAGGTAGTGCCCCAGCTAAACATACTACCAGTGGCATCAATGTTTGTCAAGTACTTTCTAGGCACTAAGCATCGAGGCTTAGAACAGCTAAGGAATTTGCCCAGGCTTAGCAGGAAGACGGTAGAGCCTGGACTGCTTAAATGCTGGGATATTTAAACATCCAGACAATAAACTTGTCTCCAAGAAATTGTAGTCTAAGATGGGCTCCAGATTCAACAACACATTGTTGTCGTTTTCTTCTATAGATATTCTGATTTTCCTGGTTTGTGCCACATCAGTCATTATACAAAATAATTTTTGCTTCACTAGGGAGCTTTTTAAGGAAGTAAACTTGGCTTTCTCATAGTTAAGGGAAAACATTTTGGATTGGGCTCATGATTCAGCCAACAAGTACAATTCATTCTGCTTTTAGTTCAACAACAGTTCAAGTAGCTGGGTCAGCAAGCTTCAGTACATGGGTGTGCCTTCCCTCACCCCATCCAGGAGTGACTAATATCAGCTGCTAAAGAGAGAACAAAGAATGCTCTGCAGAATGGACTAGCCAGCCAAGCTTTGGCTCAAATAAGGACTAGGGTTTGTCAGTGTCCTTCCCCTCTACTTTTCATCAGCACCCATGGTTCTACCACCCTCACCTGCTGGAGGGTTCACAAAGGGGAGACCCAGTCAAGTCCCCCACCTGCCAGGTCTCCAGAACAATAGATGTCACATGGGTGATGGCAGGGTCTGCCTCCTATACAGCCCCCTGAGAGATAGCATTTTGTTTTCCCAGATGTTGAGTGTTTGGGTTGCAGGATTGCTTCAATGTCATCGTTGAGTGAATTAGGAGCTAGATCGCTGAACTTCATGCCAGAGACCTCCCTTCCGGGAAATGCCAGTGTCTCATTTTCACCTGTCACAGACCAATGACCATTGGTGTTTTCAGAGTCATCCAGGGTAGAATAAAAATATGGGGAATAGAACGTCTCATATGATGACTTCAGAACACTATCAAATTTGCCTGTTGATCCCTAAGGAAAAAAATCTTAAGAGATTTCCCCTTTAGGCATCAGATCTCTGGATCCCTAGCATGCCCGGAGTTAAATGTCAGAAATTTTATGAGCATCCTGAAATTGTACAATAAATTTTTATCAGATTCTCAAAGAGATCTGTGACCCCAAATACATTAAACCACTCTTGAAAACTATGTAAGTGCTATGCATGTAATTAGACATGGCCAACTGTGGGTCAAATCCCAGGCCGCAGTGTCAACATACCAGGCGTATACATGCATGTTTGCCTGGGATCCTGACAGGGTGGAAAAATTATTGTGTTGTGACTAGGCCCCATTGAGGGGTTCTCTCTCTCTCTCTCTCTCTCCAGGTGCATGTACTCTCTGGCATTAAAATAAACAAAGAAAGGGCCAGCAGGTGATGTAGTTGTTAAGGAGTTGTACTCCTACAGCTCAAGTCCTGGACTCGGTGGCTTGAAAATCATGCCAAGCACGTGTGCTTATGTGCCCAAAATCCCAGGAAAAAAATGGAGGAAAAGGGATTGTGGCACGGCCATCTCCCCGGGGGGATATTTCTCACTTTCCCTCTCTGTCTCTCTCTGATGAGTGCATGTGCCTTATGGCAAAAACCTAAACAAACCAAAACAAAAAAGTCATATACTATTAGCCTATCAAGAGGCTATTATCATCCTGGAATACTCATTCTGCATTTTATACTATAATGAACACTCTATTTCTGAAACACTAAGTATTTCCAAGTCTCAGACCAAGACTGTCCTGGTAAAATTTTTAAAATTTGGATATCTCCTAAGGCATGTTATAAATAGGTCCTGACCCTAGGAAAGTGAGTCATTCACCACCATTCCTAAGATGTAAGACATACTTTTCGGACCAGTTACAGATGGAGATTTTATAGGCTAGCCCAAAACAACTCATTTCTCAACTTTTGAAGCTCTGACTACCTCTCTTCCCTCCTAACTCAAAATCCCTTAAAGGAACCTTAAAGGTTCTTAAATGGGGCTCCTCTGCTAAGCTCCTGGTTTCTCAGAAGCCATGGCAAGGGTGAGAAGACAGGGTTAGAAGGACAGACTGTGTCTTCACTCCTACAGCTAGGAGTAGTTTGTTTCCATCTGACTTTTAGACAAGACATTAGTACAAGATTTTATTTTATAAAATTATATATTTATTTTTCCACCAGAAAAATCATTTAAAACTCATGGTTTACACCAACCTATTTTACAAATAAAAAACAGAATGGAAACACCACAACCCAAAGATAAGGTTACATGCCTAAGGTTACATAGCTCAGGGCTTTGCCCTGACCACTCTGAGCCCCTATGGCACTGCGCACTCCCTCTCAGAAACTGGCTGGAGTGGGCAGTCCAGCAGAAGGCAGCACAGCTACCATGTGAGCTCTGTCCTGGGGCCCTCTGAGGAACTAGCACCTTCCTCCAAAGTACACACCTGGTCTCACCTTATCAACATAGTTGGCGATCTCCATGAGCTTGTGCTTGGTGGCATCTGGGTCTCGTCGATTCTTCTGAAACTAAGTGAGACAACAGAACCACATGAGAGACCCCAGAACCTCTCCCAGGACCCTTTGTGTGCCCCATTACTTGTCTTTGTGAGTTTGTTCTTCTTTTCTCCTATCTTCTATGAATGGTCATTTTTATGCAACTGTCTTCTCAACCACAGTGATAGCATGTGGAGGGCTGGACCAGGGCCACATCCATCCTGGTATCCCCAGTGACTAGCTTAGTGCAAGGTACATGACAGACATGCAGTAACTGTGTGGTGAATTGAACTGTCTTCCTCTAACTCTTGAGGTACATTGTATTCTCTCAAATTCAAGGCCTGTGGCAAACTCTCACATGAAGCCACTATCACACGGATCTTATAAGGTTTCCCTCTAGGTGGTCAATCAACGTTGGTCAAGTCATTGCTGAACGCTTGCAAAGGGCAAGGCACTGTGCTTAGCGCTAGGAAGGATACCAACAAATGCGAGATCTTATTCTAGCCTAGAGGAGCTTCTATTAAAATAGAGAGAAGACCAGAAACAACTACAATGATCAATCCTGTATTTTAAAAGTATACAGATGGCAGTTAATGGCGCTGGACTCCCACATGGTTGACCACAGTTCAAATCCTGGACCTGGCAGCTTGCTTTCACACTTTCTTTCTCTCTTTCTCTCTCACTGTCCATCTCTGGTCAAATTAAAATAAACAAATAATAAATAAAGTTAAGGAAAGAAAGAAATAGAAAGAAAGAAAGAAAGAAAGAAAGAAAGAAAGAAAGAAAGAAAGAAAGAAAGAAAGAAAGGAGGGCGGGAGGGAGGGAGGGAAGGAGGGAGGGAGGGAAGGAAGGAAGGAAGAAAGAAAGAAAAAGAAGTATACAGTTGAAATGGGCTGAGAACACATGCATAGAAATAAAAGCAATGAGAAAAGCCTGAAAGAAAAAGAAGTATACAGTTGAAATGGGCATAGAAATAAAAGCAATGAGAAAAGCCCCTGTGAATGACACATGATGGCTGCTAGCAACCAGGAGCATGAGATGTTCACAAATAGGCTTCATCTTGCAAGCCATTCAGATCATTTGGCAGTGCCTTCTATGGTAAGACTGAAAACAGACATTTCTAATCAAGCACAGGAAAGCATGCCATACTCGATTAGAAATGTCTGCCATAGGTACCCATAGGAAGACATTTCAGTATGAATAGCTTACATTTGCCATTCCTGCCTCAAAAGACTAGACCTCTTCCAGCTACAATGATGAAGGAAAGCTTCAGTGTAAAGATAAATTTTCTGGGTCAGGCTGTAGTCTGGTAGTAAAGGCAGCTGGATCCCACATGGCCAACCATGTGGTTCAAGTCCTAGATCTGGCAGCTTGAAAACACAGCAGAGGCATGGATGTGCCCAAAATCTCCAAGGGAGGGAGAAACAGAGTTGAAGGGATTGCTACATAAGCATTCCCCATGGGGCTCTCTCTCTCTCCCTCCCTTTTGTCTCTCTCCAGTGAGAACAGATGCCCTCTGTCAAATTTTCTTTTAAAAAAGATAAAATTTTCTATAACTGCAAATTAAATTTGCAAAGGATAGGCATGTCCTGAATACTGCCTTTGTTACAAAGAATTCGGGTATCTATTTGATTTACCTTGGGTACCCACCATACATGTTATTTCAATTCCAAACCTTCACTTCCTTCCTCCACCCCATCCCACGAGAATATCCAAGCAAGAAACAAAAAGAAGAGCCAAATAAAACACACTGTGATATTTGTTTGGCTGGGGGCATGTTTCAGTCCTAGTATAAGAAAAGAAATCCACTATTTCCCTTTCTCCCACTGCTTTTAGACATTCCCGGGCTTCCTTAGAACTGTCCCTCATCAGAAGAGAATCTCAGTTCACCACTGCATTCTACAATGTTAAATTTAGTATAAGATCTTATGATCTTTCAAGGTGTTATTCTAGAAGTTTCTTATTATAGAGCCTTCTCATTTCTAAATTGGTCTCATGGCAATGAGCAAAAGTATTGCAGTATTTTCATTCATTCAGTAAATATTTATGAGAACACCAGGGTCAGATTTCATTGTCTTTCACATATGTTACTCCTGTCTTCAAACAACTGCCCAATAAGGCCACCACGGTTGGAGGAGTGTATCGTGTTGTCCAGAATAGTTTGAAGCAGGAGTTGGCAAGCTTTTTCTGTGAAAGCCAGATAGTAACTCTCTTGGGCTTTGTAAACTATCTGATGGTCACAGCTACTCAGCTCTGCAGTTGTAGCTCAGGGACAGCCACGAACAGTACATGAACCATGGATGTGGCCATGTTCCAGTAAAATTCTGTTTACAAAAAAAAAATCTATGGTGGGTGGATCTGGCCACAGGCTGTGGTTTGCAGACCCCTGATCTAAAGAAGACTATCTCAGGCTGACATTTCCTAGGGTGATGCAGGAGGCATAGCAAGGTGCAGCGCCAGCCCTCTCAGCACCCCACTTCTGCTGGTATCATGGAAGTCCTTCACAGGCCCGGGCCCCTCCTACAACAGCTATCCTGGCCCCTCCTACAACAGCCCACCTTGCTCTTTGTTCCCCTTGGATTCTATTTCAACTGAAGAATGAATAAACAGAACCATCCTAGAAGCTCCCACCTGGCCCAGGGAGTGAGTTGCTGCTGGCTCTTCCTTCCTGCTGACAGCAGTCACG